CCTCTCTGTCAACGCTCTCTGGTTTCATTTAAAAGAGTCGATCATCAGATATTGTCCAAGATTAACCTTCAGGGTGGATATAGCTCGCTAGCAGCCTCACACCGAGGACCTAGTTGATGTCATCAATTTCCCAGAATGCTTTGCTTGTAAATAAAATGGCCCCGTCCGTGTAATATATTTTTAAACTTTCAGTTTAAAAATGATAAAAACTGAACGTCCTACAGTATTTTTACAGTCTTTATTTTACAGTTAAAGCATATATTTATCAAATAAAGTCTAATGTTACAACTAATTGGGGATCCCTTTAAGCATGCCGATTGAAAACTGTGTATTCTGCAGCAGCAGCAACAAGGTAGAAGCTAAATTTTCTCAGAACATGAAGCTGATGTGGACTCAATATAAGTGCTGCTCTTCAATTGACTGTTCGACATTTTACAGCACAGTGAGACCAGAACCCTGTCTATGGCACTTTTCCTCAGTAAAATATACATCGATGAGTCTGCAAGAGGACTAACAATACTACAAATTAAAGCTACGTGTGAGAACTTCACATTATCTCTGGCTTCTTTTACTAGGCAAAACACTATGATAGGCAGGAACAGTAGAGTGTATATAAGTAGCACCAAAACCAAAATAGCCACAACACGTCTCTTTTCATCAACAGGGACCTTGGCTGCAGACAGGGCTTTTAGGGTTCCAGCCAAGAAGAAAACAAAGAAGGGGAATGGAGCGAGGAGAAAGACAGCAGTGATAATACGTCCGGTCCCAAAACCAACTAAATACACAATAAGCCTCAAAACAAGAATACCAGCCCAGACACCGACACAGAGAGCCAAGGCTGCCTTAATGTTCCGTCTGAATCTGTACCACAGCGGCTTGGCAATGACCAAATACCTGTGAGAAAAAACAGACTATCAAATGCATTCTAAAGTATCTGAGACAAAAATGTGACATAATGACAGAAGAGTTACCTTTCCAGAGACACGCACACCATGAATCCAACACTGGCCATTACACCCAACAGGTAGGTCTGAATGATGGTGTCACGAGACTTGTGTGTTACAGTTATTAGTGCCATCATGCTGCAGAGCTGAATAAGATCAGAAACCAGGAGGTTGATGATGTAGACGGGTGTGGCATGATCCTGTTTTGTCTAAAGGGGGGGTGGGGGGTGGGGAATTAAAGAAGATGCATTCGGACGTTCACCTCAAATGTCAGGTCGATTGGGCTACAATTTACACGACAATTTACAAGACAAAACATATACAGAACACCACGTTGATTAGATAAACACTCATCTTTCCTTAAAGGAGTGCATGTCGCCTTCCACCCTTCAAGATAAATACACAATTTCAACAAATATTGTGATATCTCACACATTAAACTTAATATCCATCAAATTAGATGTGTTTTGGTCATTTTTCTGTGTGTGTTTCCAAAGTTCATTTGTCAGTTGGATTTGGGTTAACTTTAAAGTCTATTAGTTGACCATGGAATAGTCTCAGCTACTACCACACCACATTTTAACTCAATATCTGTAAAAGTCACTGAGTCATGGGCATTCTGTGTTAGCTATGCTAGCTGTGTTAGTTATATTGAATCAGAACTCAAAAGTTTAATCAGTTATAGATGTGCTTCAGTGATTACTTTCTGAAAGTTTTATGGAATTTCATCCAGTAGATCAGGGCTATTCAACTGGCAGCCCGTGGGCCACCTACCCATTGGTTCATTTGTCTCTTAAGCCCAAACACCTGGTTTTCTACTTTAATTACCCTGTTCATTTAGTTAAATATAGACATGTTGGCATCTACAGAAACATCAGAATCTTGGCTACAAGCTGGTAAAAAACCATTTCTATGAACACCCAAATCAATTAAAACTACAAGCAGTTGAAGATAGAAATATGAAAGTGAAAATAAACTTGGTTTAAAATTTTGGCAAGTCAGAGATGTCAAAATATTATTTGTTTAATAGGAGACATAATGTGTTACTTTTGTTTTTGACATTATTTTATTATTACTTTTATAGGGTTCTGTATGTTGTTTTTCTGATTGAATGCAGCGAAATAAACTAGTTCACAGGTAACAGATCTTTGTAATACTTGGTTTATTCACATAATGATTTTAAATGCTGGATGGCCAGCCCCTGTGCTGTTGGTCTGCAGTAACTGTAAACC